AATCCGTCGAGTAGTTTTTGTTTCTATAAGGAACATACACACAGACAGACAGACAGACAAAAATTTTACTGATTGCATTTTTGGCATCAGTATCGATCACTAATCACCCCTTGATAGTTATTTTGAAAATATATTTCATGTACAGAATTGACCTCTCTACAGATTTATTATAAGTATAGATAATGACAGTATTGGAATAAAGGTGCGATATATATTCCACAGTTTTGACGAACGTGGTAATTTTTTTTTATATTTTTTAAAAAGTTTCTAATGTGCCAAGTGAGTGTTTACCTGCATACATCATCATCATTTATTAATGTCGCCACTGCTGGGGCACAAGCCTTCCCTATGGATGGAATAGGGAGACTGGGCCGTGACCCACTACGCGGGCCCAGTGCGGATTGGCGGGTGCTAACGACTGTAGATGCAGCCGGGACCAACGGCTTAACGTGCCTTCCGAAGCACGGAGGAACTCGAGATTTTTGGTCACCTATCCAATGACCGACCATTGCGAAAGTTGCTTAACTTTAACCATCTAGCTCCTCGATACATCACTCCTACATACATCAATAAATCGTAAATCATACTCGAAATGTTCTATCATAAATAAAGATGACTCCATGTAACGTAGCGTGTGTATTTAATGCCCTCGGGGGGTGAGACAAATTTTGTCACAGAAAAACACGATTCAAGTGAGATTTTTTGAAGTGGTTTATATAATAATAATAATAATAAATTTAATAATAAATTTTTATTGGCTTGAACAAAAATGTGATCTTAAACTAATGACCTGCATCTCCTTTTAAGCTTAAATAGCCTGTGTCAGGAGATACAGCTCTTCCTTAAAATAGATAATTATAACAATCCAATAAAATCTAAACAAACCATGACCAAGATCTAATTAGTTTAGACGTTTGGTGTTTATGCCTACATAACTGTAAATGTGGGAGTGAGTGTTTGTATTTTGTATGCATGTGTGTGTGTGTGTGTGTGTGTGTATGTTGGTGTAGTGTGTGTGCGTATATATGTGTATTAGTGTGTGCAAGAATACTAGGTTCTGCTTAATAGTATCTCGATTTCGTTTCGTATCTCGGTTTACTTCTTCTCATCTATTTCTGACGACCTCCGTGGCCGAGTGGTTTGTACGCCGGGTTTCATGGTGTCGCCGACTCGAGAGGTCCTGGTTTCGAATCCCGGTGGGAGCAGATGTTTGTGTGATGAATACGAGCATTTGTACTCCAGTCATGGAAGTTCAATATGTATTTCTATATAAATATACTTATGCATGTACACTATATGTATTCTATCCGTTACCCTAGTATCCCATAACACAAGCCTTACAGTTCTTACATTGGGGCTAGGCTAATTGGTGTGAGTGTTGGATTTTTTTTTTTTTACATTTCCATTTCCGAAAAATAGAAATGATATAAAAGAGATGGGAGTGGCGCAGGATCGATGTGGAGATCCTTGGGGGAGGTCCATGCTCATCAGTGGGCTTCGTACGGTTGGGATGATGATAATGATAAGAGAAATAATGCAGGCCAGGGCCATTCGCCTAACGGAAATGCTTTGGAAAACGCTAACACTTACGATTTCATTTTGATATTTCTATCCGCTTGAGGTTTTCAAATTTGACGACCTCCGTGGCCGAGTGGTTTGTACGCCGGGTTCCATGGTGTCACCGACTCGAGAGGTCCCGGGTTCGAATCCCGGTGGGGGCAGATGTTTGTGTGATGAATACGAGCATTTGTACTCTAGTCATGGATGTTTGATATGTATTTCTATATAAATATACTTATATTTGTACAGTATATGTATTCTATCCTTTACCCTAGCATCCCATAACACAAGCCTTACAGTGCTTACTTTGGGGCTAGGCTAATTGGTGTGAGTGTTGGAAATATTTATTTATTTATTTATAAATGCCTCACGCTCAATTCTTTTCTTTTGCATTGGTAATAACAATATTAAAAAAGCTGAGCGTGAGGTATTTGAAAACCTTCGGCGGTCAGAAATAACAAAATAAAATCGAAAGCGTTAGCGTTTTCCAAAGCATTTCCAATAGGCGAGTGACCCCCAGGTAGGTATTTATCACACTAATATTATAAAGGCGAAAGTTTGTGAGTTTGTGAGTGTGTATGTTAGTTATATAAATATATATAATAGTTAAAGGTAAACTCCTTCTGAAGTAAGTACCTACCCTGATCTCTTAGCCAAACATAAAAAAATAAAGCCATCGCAGGAGAAGACAATAAATGTGTTTAATTTTTATTGGATGTACCTAGAGTGCGGTGCCAGCATAGATATTGTAAATTTACCTGTCCACCTGAGACCACCACGGAGAAAATGTAACCTATAGGATTGCACAAAATCTGTCCACTGAAAAGGAGCGGAGATTTCGTGCAATTCTATTAGTTGATATTTCTCCATTACTCTGCTCTGTAGTCTCGCTCCGCTCCAGTGGACAGGCAGCCTTAAAGTGGTGTTTTGTGTAGAAAGCAACATTAAGTACAACTGACTGTATAAATTATTAGACGTTGAGATTTTATTTTAATACTTACTGATTCCCTCACAGAAATAAAGAAGATACGGTTTCAATTACTTTCCTACCTTTTCTGATAAGGCCTCATACTCATATTGTAACGAAAACCAAAAATTAATAATGATATTAAACATGGGGCTGTATGAGCTTAATTTCTTTCGCCTCCCGGTGGAAATTTTTTATTAAAATTATTGCCTGACCTTCACCCAAGGACGTACTAATACCGGATCCATTCCGGTTACTTTAGTTCGCAGTTCGCTAGCAAACTAGTCCTATTTTTTATTAGTTCTTTAGTTTGTCAGGACCCTTTTCGATCCAGAGGGAGACAAATCGTTCGCAAGTGATCTGATGTTTGTTGAAGCAGCTATTCTTGAATCTTTTTCATATCATTCAGGTTAAAATTCCCGTAGTATTTTAACGGGGCCGATTCAGCATGATTACATTTTATTCAAAACTAGCGGCCACCCGCGACTTCTTCCGCGTTTACTTTAGTTTTTTGAGAATCTCTTTAGCTAGAACGTAAAATATTGTCAGGATAAAAAGTATCCTAATTTTTAATCCGTAGGTTTGCCAAATTTCACCCAAACCCGTTCAGTTGTTTTTACGCAATTGCGTAACAAACATACCAATCTTTCACATTTATAATATAAGTAGGATAACATTTAACAACAGTTTATATTTGTCATGCACTATACAGAATGGAAAGGCGAGACTGTTAGAATGGTAAAGATTGTTGGTGAAAACCAAAGCCAAAAAAAGTTAGGCTACTACCAAACTTTTAATACTTAACTATTCAGGTATTGTAAAATACTGGCCAAAATTAAATATTTTATACTGAATTTGTTTCTAAAAATAAATAAAAGCTTTATTTGGTAAATAAAAAAAAACAAAGAAAATTAACATCCGAACTCGGGTTCGAACCACCGACCACTTGCCTCGACCTCAAGAGACCAATTGCATTGGGGTATCTGTCTCTTAGAATAAATGACAAAATTACGGATACCTATCTTGTGTCAAATACTCTACTTCCGTTTCATTGAATCTCAAGTCACAACAATACTAAAGAAGTTTTCACTTCAACAAACTTTTAATATCTGTTAATAAAAAGAACTCAAAAAGAAAAAAAAACAAAGAAAAAGTAAAAAATAATTTAAGTCTAATAGAAATATACCATTTTATAGGAATATAATGGTGGCGATTCTAGCATGATTTTCTAAACTTAAAAGTAAATTTAGCATCAGTCTCTCCTTTTCATGATGTATACCGAACGACAGGGATACACTGTTGTCAAATTTAAGTTTAGATTTAGAGAATCATGCCAGAATTGACACCTATATCTTATTTTATAAATAAAAGCACGTTACACCCATTTTATTTCCCTTGCCGACAAAATGTAATACGCTTTATTAAAAGAAATGGTATATAATTTACCAAGGAAATGGCATATTTTTATCAGAATTATTAACTATTTAGTTCTTTTTACTAACAAGCAAATAAAAGCATGTTTTTTACTAAAGATTTTTATTTATTTTCTCCTTTTTAGTATTTATAATTAAGGATTTACTATATTTTGCCTTCACTTAACGTAAATGGAGTTGCATATCAATATTATCTAGGTCCAAAGTACTCATCAACAACACTAATCAAACGAGGCCAAACTTGATGCGGTTGCGTAGTTTTATTTTTAGAATCCTATGGCCACCTTCCAGTCTCATCATTAGAACCTGTTTACCATATAGGACAATACTCGTCAAGACAAATCATACGAGCCTGTTATATTATGTCCTGTTTTTAGTATAATTTTTATTTTAAGAAGTCGATCGTAAATCTAACTTTATGTATAACGTATGTTTTATAATTATGTTGGTTGAAAAAATGTTGGCACGCCAAATAAATAAATAAATTAAATAACTTTTTCTGTGATTAAACTTGCCCAGTTTTTTATTTCATTAACACTTATAATAAAAAAAATGGTTGCCTGTAAAGTCGGTTTTACGGGCGAAGATTTTACGTGACAACGTCTTTTTCTCGGTAGAATATTTATTGATATGAATATAATTAAATTGCACAATAGGAACAAGGAATTGAATGAAAATAAGAATTGCACAAATTTTAACTATAGAAATATATTTTGTTTACTAAAACATTGTACATGTAAACTTAAACTTAACACGAGAGACTCATCGTAACGTTACCGAGCGTTACACTTTTTCATAAGTGACTCCCAGCCGCAACCTAATTTAAGACGTTGTCACGTCAAAACCTGAATATCAAAAATGTATAGTAAATTTCGGTTTTTATTTTTGTTGAGAACCTGAATTTAAAGACGATGACTGATGATGTTACCAATCGAACTAATGCATACGGAGCGAAAGATCTGTGAAGTGGTTAGTTCGTTTATCTAGTTCGAGGACATAGTTCGTTCGCGAACTACACTAAATACGAAAAAAAACAAAACGTCAAAATCTGCGCGCGCGAACATTTTCTTCCCGTGAAAATAAATATTTATAGCTAAAAAGATAAAATATATATACCTTAATTTGGCTAAATATCCCAGGTAAAAAGTATATGTTATAATAATTATGCAATGTTATTGATTATTATTATTATACTGATTGGGTTTTTATATAATGAGATTTATATTTTAGTTGTGGTCAGAGTATTCTATTTCATCAATTGAATTTTTTTATTAATGTACAAAAATTTGTACTTCCAACACAATGTAATATTGTTAAGGAATAAATAAATACATTATAAAATTATTAAACTTTGTCACCTAATAGTGGTTTTTACTTGTTGTTGAAGTGTTATGTTGTGATCTAATCTAAATTGAGAACAATGTCCATATTTTATGATTTCATTTGCCTAACAGTTCTAACTTTTTAAGTAAGAAGTAACCAAAATTAATATTTCATCAAGGCATTTCGGTGGCATGGCTAAACAAGTGGCCGAAGTGGAAATTCATGCTACAAAAAATTCAGATAAGGATTTGGAAGATCTCGACATCAGCGTACACGAGGTTGATGACAAGCTGTTCTTAGGTAGGTCTTTTGATTTATGAAAAGGGTTAGCTACTTGAAAGTGAGATATTACTAAACAGAGCATTGTACCTTACTACAGCTTTATGTATTATTCTACAATTAACCTTACACCAAACCTATTTCTACTCCAATCTTCATTGGATTGACTAAGTCTTTTTTCATCTAAAAATAATTTAGATTTGTCATAGTTATGTTGTGTAATGTACCTGTGATTATTGAATTTTATATAACATTAGCTATATTAAATATTACAACATTATTAAACCAACTCTAGCACTGATGATAGGGGTGACGATGGGAAAGTAAACAAAATTCTATTTAGTATGCCAGTTAGATGATCAAAAAATAATGAACTCTTTATTTTTTCTTTTGTCAATCATCCAAAAAATTACAAAGATAAAGTGTGTCAAAGTTTGAGAGTGGGGGACTGTGATGTCACTTTTAAGTTAAAATTGTACCAAAACGTGACGTCATGCGGCGTTTCAAATCAATATATCAGAGATATATTGATTGATTATGTGAAAAAAGAAAAAATGTCCAATACTTTTTGATAATCCACCTGATTCACAAATAAAAAAAAAGTTACGTTGTCATCCCTATTTTTACAGTTGGGGAAGCAGAACTAATGCCATTCCACAATTTCATTCTATAATATGCAAAAGAGAGTTGAGGTGCAGAAATATCCTGCCAAAGAATATAACATGTCATTTATGAGATCACTGGCAATTAAAATATGGTTTTTTTTATGCTTGAATATTTCATTTTTTGTATTGAAATATTAAGTGAATCATGTAGAGGAGCTTCCAACATATCATACCTTTTTATTTAGATCAGCAAAAAGATATGTTATACAAGTTATCTAAATGCAATTAACGAAATTAAGACATTTGTTTTCTATACATGTTTTTTTTTATTGTTTTCCACTTTTTGTTTGATTGAATATGTTTATTTATTCAGTCTGCATTTTTCAGGTAATTTGGCTTGTGCTAGAGACTACAAAACATTGAAAGAGCTCCATATAACACACATATTGACATTGGACTTGGTGCCATTACCGAGAAGTATATTAGATCACACTGATCTCACCTTTAAATATATTAAATGTAAGATTACTTATTCATTTGAGATTTCAAATATCACATTAAAGTATCTTTATCATCATCATGATGCCATGACCCACCATGTGGGCCCAGCGGATTGTCGGTTGCTAATGACTGCAGATGCAGCCAGGGTCAATGGGTTTATGTGCCTTTCAAAGCATGGAGGAGCTCAGGATAATCATTTTTTGGTCACCGCCGAAACCATTAACCACCGTCCCTTCAAGTTCCTCCTTATAAAATATGATTTTTCGTTATTGCTTATGAAAACATTTTTTGTATCTAACTGGAAATTTATATCAAGTTTTTACCTTGTCATTCAAAATAATGTAAGTTTATATTTAAACAAGTTTATTTTTTTAGTGGCAGACGTGCCAAAGGAGGATCTGATATGCCACCTGCCAGAGGCAATAGAATTCATCAAGAGTTCCGTCGCAGCACAAAACAATACCCTAGTTCACTGGTAATTTCTATATTTTCCTATTCTATAAGAAGAAAATAAAGCCTTAGTCAGTAGTTATTAGCTTTAGCAGCATTATTATGCCAATATTCCTACAGCTTGGATAAAAGTCCTATAAATTCTTTTATTTTTTTAAAGGATTTCCTTTGTTTTATACAAAGTATGTTCTTACTTTTGAAATAGAAATTTATATTTAACTAGTGGCCCGCCCTCGCTTCGCTTCGGGGTAGAACTGATCAAAATCCTTTCTTAGCGGATGCCTACGTCATAACATCTACCTGCATGCCAAATTTCAGTGGTTTGGGCTGTGCATTGATAAATCACTATGTCAGTCAGTCACCTTTGAGTTTTATATAAATAGACTAGCTGTGCCACGCGGTGTTACCCGCGGGTTTATTAGGGATATTTTCCTGCACTAAAACGTAGCCTATGTGTTAATCCAGGGTGTCAACTAAATCCATACCATATTTTATTAAAATCACTCCAGCCGCCATAGAGGTGAAGAAGTAACAAGGCAGGCATGTGGCCTTTATAATAATAGTGTGATAATAAAAGTTCTTATCTATGAGAAGTTGAGTATAATTTTGCTTTCAAAAATTACAGAAAATATTTAGACAAATAAATTAGTGGGTCATAGGGCTTCATTTAAATTTTTTTTATTTAAAAAATATTAATGAATGGATTATACACTTATCTTTCTATTGTTTGAACTTTTAACATGAATAATAAGTGATGAAAAGATTGTCTAGCCATTTAGAACCGAAATCACAAATCTTTTTATCCTACCGATCTTTTTAGTTATTTTGGAGTGTCTCGGTCAGCATCAGTTGTTATAGCATACATGATGGAGAGACATGGTGCAAGTTATGAAGATGCCCTTGATATGGTGAAACAGAAGCGTCGTTTTGTCTGCCCTAATGCTGGGTTTGTCGCTCAGTTGAAATTGTATGCACAAATGGGCTTCAAGATTGACAAGGAAGATCCACGGTATAAGCAGTTTAGATTAAAAATGGCTGGTCAGAAATTAAAACAAGGTAAGTAATATTTTTTCTAGTTATATTTTCTTTAGATTTAAACATCAAGCAGTTACATGATTTAAAAATAATAATAAAAAAAAATTATAAAGGTAAGTAATAATTTGTATGACGATTAATTTGTATTGTATTTTTATTTTTTTTAGTGTTGACTGATTTCATTTTCTTATATTAACTTGTAATATGCATTTTGCACCTTAAAAATAGAATTCCCATTTCCTTTGAGAACTATAATATGAGAACGAGTAAATTGATTCAATTCAGTTTTTTAATACTACTAGCATGAGCACCGTCATGTGATATATAACGCGTTCTTCACGTTTCGTTTATCACGATTTTATCAATTGTCAAAATGCTATGGAGTTTGACAGTTAGACGCGATAAAAAACGTGATATAATGTAAATTGTCGTGCTCATGCTAGGGGCGCTGAAGCAGGTTATTATGCAAAGATGAAATTTGCGTTAAATTAAAGTTGTAGAAATGTACTCGCGGACGGAATTTGCTCATATTTACAATACAATAGAGAGACGAACTTCTTAGCAATCCATGGATTCACCGGGTGGTTGCCCGATCCATCGTGTGGGAGAGAGAGGAACTCTGAGCTGTTTCCCGGACTTACGACCCATCTCCTCTAGCATGACCACCGAAAGAGGATATGATAAAGGGCTATATACTACCCCTGTTCACTTGGCTAGGTTAAAAATACGTGACAGCCCCACATGTGATTGTGGAGCCGAGGATGGTACAGTGGATCATCTTTTCTTTAACTCATCATCATCATCATCATCAGCCTATTAATGTCCCCACTGCTGGGGCACAGGCCTTCCCTATGGATGGTATAAGGAGATTGGGCCATGACCCACCACGCGGGCCCAGTGCGGATTGGCGGGTGCTAACGAATGCAGCTGCAGCCGGGACCAACGGCTTATCGTGCCTTCCGAAGCACGGAGGAACTCGAGATAGAAGATTATTGGTCATCCATCCAATGACCGACCACTGCGAAAGTTGCTTAACTTCAACGATCGCAGCCGAAAGCGCTAACCACCTGCGCCGTCGAGCTCCTTTCTTTAACTGCCCCAAATTAAACATCTCTCTCTATGACATTTTACCTCCCACTATTCCACGTCCTATAAGCATGAAAGTCCAACTATGTTTATGTGATTACCCAACCCTCAAGCTCTTGGCCAAATTTATTTCCCATAACAAACTAAGATTATAACAAAGCTCCTTGCTTTACTTGTTTTATGTTTGTGTTGTCCTGATTGTGACGTATTTCTTTACAGGTAAAAATGCTTATAAAATAGGTAACCAGAATTCTGATTTTTAACTGTCATTCCCTTACGTGTAATGGCTAATCACTTGACATTGGCGGAGCTGTGCTAAGTCACAACGCAAGCCATCATAAAAGAAGAATAAGAAGAAGAAAGCGCTATATCGACATTAACTGTCAGACTACTGTCAAACTCCACAGTAGTCTGACAGTTAATGCCGATATATCGCTTTATCATATACCGTTTCGGTGGTCATGCTAGAGGGGCAGGTGTAGGTTTAAGGGAGTTCCTTTGAGATGCGCATCAACAGTCACCTTCACTGCTCTAGTTGCCCGGCCAAATTTTATAGGAGTCTGTTAGTCCAGCCTTAGTTAGTCATTCCAAAATTGAACTAACTGCAGTTCTCGACAGGCCTTGGTATTTTAGAAGTTTTTTTTTTTTTTTAAACACACACCAATTAACCTAGCCCCAAAGTAAGCACTGTAACGGATAGAATACATATACTGTACATATATAAGTATATTTATATAGAAATACATATTAAACATCCATGACTGGAGTACAAATGCTCGTATTCATCACACAAACATCTGCCCCCACCGGGATTCGAACCCGGGACCTCTCGAGTCGGCGACACCATGAAACCCGGCGTACAAATCAATCGACCACGGAGGTCGTCAAGGTTACAGAGAGATTTCGCTGGTATACCTCACGCTCCTACTTCTACCGCATATTGTGTTTTATTTCAGAAGATCCTTCCCCAGTCATGCCTAGAGCTGGTGAAGGAAGACCCTGGCCTTGCTCGAGAACGGCCTGACCCTACCGTATATCGATGCCGGCGTTGTCGGCGAGTGCTGGCCGCACATCGTAACCTCATACCTTATCCCCTTGATGGGGGTAGATTGATCAAAATCCTTTCTTAGCGGACGCCTACGTCATAACATCTACCTGCATGCCAAATATCAGCCCTATCCGTCCAGTGGTTTGGGCTGTGCCTTGATAGATCACTATTTCAGTCAGTCACCTTTGAGTTTTATATATATAGATTTTGCTGGTATACCTCGCGCTCCTACTTCTACCGCGTATTGTGTGTTTATTTCAGTGAAGATCCTTCCCCAGTCATGTCTAGAGCTGGTGAAGGAAGACCCTGGCCTTGCTCGTGAAAGGCCCGACCCTACCGTATATCGATGCCGGCGTTGTCGGCGAGTGCTGGCCGCACATCGTAACCTCATACCGCACGCGCCCAAACAGGTACCAAACAGAAAGGGAAGATAAATTACGCTCATAGTATCATTAAATAAAAAAAAATATGGGTGCGTGTACTTAAGTACGCGCGTGAGAAGTTATACTTCTTTTTTGCGAATTATTAAAAAATAGTTTTTAATTGCATGCAGATAATTAATTACAATAAGATAATAAAAGGATTGGAAAAGGATAGTCAACGCAGTGAATAAAGTTCAGTTTTAATTTGAAAAATTTAATAAATAATCAAAATATTCAATTTGAATCACTACTGAATAAAATTTATTAGCACATATAAATTTCGCATTTGTATAACATTATAACACGTGTTAAGAATATAGAAACTAGAAAAATGTGGATAAATATTATAAATATGAAAACAGTGATAAGAGGCGACGAGCGTCCCAACATGTGCGACTAAGAGATCCTATTACTATTTTGTTGGAAGCTTTTTTTCGAGACTTACGAGTAATGTGCGGTTTAGCGGCCGACTTCATGGTGTTACTTTTCTGTTACAGTGTTGCGCGCGCATCTTAAAATTTCACTCTTATCATTTTTTTTCATAACGCGCCCGCGGCTAACTTCATTATGTTAGTTTTGTGTTACAGTGATGCGCGCGCATCTTAAAATTTCACTCTCATAATTTTTTCATAACGCGGCTAAAGAAGTATAACTTCAAAAATTGTGTGTCCGACGCACGACCGGAGTTTACACTCTAAAAACGATTGTCTTTGAACAGACACAAAACTAGTGTTGCCCAAATTCAGTCTTCGTCTTGCAGTCTTGGCCTTGTTCTTGCATTTTTGCAAGACCAAGACCAAGAATAAGACCGCGTATTTTTAGCAAGACCAAGACCAAGAACAAGACCGCGTATTTTCAGCAAGACCAAGACCAAGACTGACCGTGCAAGACTTGAGCAAGAACAATACTAATCCGGCAAGACTCTTGCGTCTTGCAGCTAGGACTTAGCGCTATTTCACGGAGTAGTTAGGTATAGGTTCGGTGTATAGGTACGCTTAGGAATTCTATGAGAAACTGTATCAAAGAATATGACAAACTGGACCTATGCGCATTACGACCAATACCATAAACATACATAGCGAATAAAAAAATATCCATTAAAAATCAAACAGAGTGCATGCATAGTTTTGTTTTAACCATCGGCACTTTGATGTTATATCGGCAAGACCAAAACTGGGAGCGCAAGACCAAGACTGGCTAAGTCTCGTCTTGTTCTTGCATTTGGGCAACACTACACAAAACAAAATCAAGTCCGAAGAAGTCGGTTACAAGTACAGATACCTCAGGAATCGTCCCATGCTTTCGACTATCATAGGTTCCATGTCACACATTTTATCATCTAACATCAGCGATATTCATCATATATTTTATTATGTATTTCTGGAAACACACAATTTCAAAAATATCACACACTAGTCATCATTTTTTGTAAATATGTATTATAATTCCATCTGTACTGAAAATCACTATTCCAGAGTGCTGGACACTTACCGGCATTTCTCTATATTCTGTTATTTATTTGTTTTCATTAATTTTGCTCCGATTTTATCTATTTTTAGTTTATTTATTTTATTGACATTTGTGACAACTTAATGATTTTTATCCGTTGCCATGGCTAAAAGTGAAAGGTGCCCAGATGAGGTAGCGCACAAAAACGTAACGAGGTCATTAATGTCATTCATCGATAGATTTTACTCCTCACATTTTTCTCAGACCGGGCCCCTTATATATGCAAAACGATTCTTAAGGAGTAAACTCCAAAAATATGCTCCGATTCAACTACATTACCAACTCTCACACACGCACACTTCTGTAAATAAACATTCCATCGAGCTAGCAAGAACAACTGTACGCTTCAATGCAGCGCGGGTGAAAATGCGAGGCCGCTTCACTAAAAATATACAATCCGTCCTTTTGGAAAAATGTACCTTAGTTTGTACCAAACAGGTCCCACCGCGTACCAACCAGGTTCCACCGCGTACCAAGCAGGTCCCATCGCGTACCAAGCAGGTCCCACCGCGTACCAAACAGGTTCTACCGCGTACCAAACAGGTCCCACCGCGTACCAAGCAGGGCCACCGCATACCAAGCATGTCCCACCGCGTACCAAGCAGGGCCACCGCATACCAAGCAGGTCCCACCGCGTACCAAGCAGGTCCCACCGCGTACCAAGCAGGTCCCAGCGCGTACCAAGCAGGTCCCACCGCGTACCAATCAGGTTCCACCGCGTACTAAGCAGGTCCCATCGCGTACCAAGCAGGTCCCACCGCGTACCAAGCAGGGCCACCGCATACCAAGCAGGTCCCACCGCGTACCAAGCAGGGCCACCGCATACCAAGCATGTCCCACCGCGTACCAAGCAGGTCCCACCGCGTACCAAGCAGGGCCACCGCATACCAAGCAGGTCCCACCGCGTACCAAGCAGTTCCCACCGCGTACCAAGCAGGGCCACCGCATACCAAGCATGTCACACCGCGTACCAAGCAGGTCCCACCGCGTACCAAGCAGGGCCACCGCATACCAAGCATGTCCCACCGCGTACCAAGCAGGTCCCACCGCGTACCAAGCAGGGCCACCGCATACCAAGCATGTCCCACCGCGTACCAAGCAGGTCCCACCGCGTACCAAGCAGGGCCACCGCATACCAAGCATGTCCCACCGCGTACCAAGCAGGTCCCACCGCGTACTGTCGTAAACTTGGACAAGACAATACATTTAAAATGAAAGATAAATCAAAGAATCATTGACTACAGTTTGATTTGTAACTGCATAGCCCCAACGATGTGCTTAAAATATACAGTGTAAACTACATTTAACATCACTCGATTTAACGACAAACTCCCTAGGTTTAGTTTGTTTTCCATACAATGATACACTCCATGTAGCATTACACCCACTCTCAATAACCTCAACAATTAAGTAATAAAAAGTACCTTTAAGTTGCCAAAATTAGTGAAAATCGCGCAGATGTGTACGTTCTTTTGTCGCTTTATTATCCTATCCCGTAATAAACTCGACTGTCGGCATCATGCAAACCAAACTTTCAAAGAAATTCGTTCTTTTGTTCAATAATTGAGATTGCACGTGTAAACTGTTGTTGACCATGACAAAAAAAAATATAATACAACAAAATTACTGGTGCAGCAAAAGACTTCAGACAAAAGTAACAGAATATACGCAACAGCGTTCAAATAAGTTATTTTTTTATGTACATAACTACTGCTTGAAATGAACTTTTTCTTTTCATAATTCCGATTTTTCTTCTTTCCATATAAAATGTACAGTCCCTTTAGTGTCGTTATACAGGATGTGACAAAAGTCCGAAATAAAACTTTAGGGTTTGGTTGTGTTCCTTGTATAGAATTACCTACGAAAGTTTGACGCCATTCAGACCACTTTTATTTTCTAATTAAATTTATAAAAATATCGTTTCACACCTGCCTATGACAACCCTATAAATGCGTACGATTACTACTACCTATACAGACCCCCCTCACTCCCCCAGGCGCCCCTGCGCCCCGCTCAGATACCTACAATTTTTTTTATTTCGGAATACATACCTACAAACTTTATTTCGAAATTCTGTAACACCCTGTATAGAGTTTACACTGTATATTTGTTGAAAGGTCAAGGTGCAATGGGCCAAGAAAGGTATGCGGCCACCGCCCAGCTTGCTTACTGAACACGACGGGGGTGGTCTTATAGAGAAGCTGCGCAGTCTAGCGAGCCAGATGCTGGACCAACCAGAAGCGAGCAGTAGCCAACAAGCACAGAGACGCGGTGACTCGCCACAACGAGAGGATAGTGATCTCAAACAACGGGACAACGAAGATTGGACCAATGAGGTTTGATTAAGATTATAATTATGTTTTTTGAAGTTATACTTCTTTAGGCGTGTTATGAAAAAATGATGAGACTGAAAAAGCCCTTGTTCCCCGAGCACTACAATCTAGCGGTCTTCAAAGCAAGAGTGATCCGGTTTTTATGAGGTAAGCGCGCTCCATCGTAGACCATAATATTGCTTGCATCAGGCGAATTATGGTCAAGCGCTTACCTATTACCGAATTAAAAAAAAAATGTATTTAGACTTAGTTAGGTAAATAATCTGCAAGTAGGTACTTAGTGCACATCTTTACACCCGCTTTCATTTCTCTCTCACTAAATCTTGGTTGGCTGGAAAAGATCTCCCTTAGAGTTAAAGCCCTCCTTTGCTCACATATTTATGTTTTGTAACTTACAATTTTTGTGTGCAATAAAGAGTATAATAAAAAACAATAAAGTATATTTCACACGACTTTACTTGACTTATGTGGAAAAGAGAGGTATCTTTTTGAAATGAAACTTCTTTACTGTTGATTATGTTATAGCGGTGGCTAAAAAGCAAATGGCCCTATAAAGGAAAAGGAAAGATGCGCGCGCATCACTGTAACACAAAAATTTTGTGTATGTATTTTGTGTAGTGATTTTAATTGACTATTTTGAATATTTATTTAATTTTTCAAATTAAAACTGAACTTAATTGACTGTGATAACTATCCTTTTCCAGTCCTTTTATTATTTTATTGTAATTATTAATTATTTGCATGCAATTAAAAAATATTTTTAATGATCCCAAGGAAGGATAACTTCTCACGCGCCTACATAAATACACGCACCCATTTTTTTTTAAGCATTTAACTGCTAGATGTTTAAATCTAAAGAAAAGTTTTACTAGAAAAGAATCCACGCGGACCAGACAGCGGACGGGACTCGAACCAGCACCCTTCGCAATCCGGGCGAATCATCATCATCAGCCTATTAATGTCCCCACTGCTGGGGCACAGGCCTTCCCTATGGATGGAATAGGGAGATTGGGCCATGACCCACCACGCGGGCCCAGTGCGGATTGGTGGGTGCTAACGACTGCAAATGCAGCCGGGACCAACGGCTGCCTTCCGAAGCATGGAGGAGCTCGAGATAGTAAATTTTTGGTCACCCATCCAATGACCGACCACTGTGAAAGTTGCTTAACGTCAACGATCGCAGCCGAACGCGCTAGCCACCTGCGCCATCGAGCTCCTCAATGGGGCGAATGCACTGACCAATTATACTACCACGGCCCTGATGGCCGCGTCGAAATTTTCCTAGACTTAAGCTGCAAGGCAGCGCCATCTCTTCGCATTGTACGGCTATCAGGCCCGTGGTACCATAATTGGTCAGTGCATTCGCCCGGATTGCGAAGGGTGCGGGTTCGAGTCCCGTCCGCTGCCTGGTTTGCGTGGATTCTTTTCAAGATTATAATTATTTCAACAAATGTCGCAATCTAGCGAGCCAGCTGCTAGACCAATCAGAAGAGATCGTAATGGTTATATAGCATTTCTCGATAAATGCACTATCCAAGACAAAAAGTAATACATTTTCTAGTAAACTTTTCTTTAGATTTAAACATCTAGCAGTTAAATGCTTAAAACTAATATAAAACCACTAGCGGCCCGTCCTCGCTTCGCTTCGGTGTAGAGCTGAAGTCTAGATTACAGTTTTTGTTCTCAGGCTTGTATTATACACAATGACATTCATCTATGATTCTTCTTATACCTGCATGCAAAGTCTCAGCCTGATTGGTTTAAAATTGACAAAGTTTCATTCCCTATTTTATCCCCTTGGGGGTAGAATTGATCAAAATCCTTTCTTAGCGGATGCCTACGTCATAACATTACCTGCATGCCAAATTTCAGCCCGATCCGTCCAGTGGTTTGGGCTGTGCGTTGATAGATCACTATGTCAGTCAGTCATACACCTTTGAGTTTTATATATATAAAACCATTTAGTATTTTTTTAATCGGCCCAGTATTTTCTTATTTTGCGCGTTGAACAAAAAAAAATGTATAAATACAAGCCTGAGAACACTACAGCTGTACACCGAAGCGAAGCGAGGGCGGGCTACTAGTTATGTAGGTGTGTATTTACTACAACAAAGCATAATTTACTGATTGCCTTTAATTAATTTTAGGCTGCTAAATCTTTTTTAAGTTATGATATTTTAAATCTAAAGAAAAGTTTACTAGAAAAAATATCCACGCGGACCAGGCAGCGGACGGGACTCGAACCCGCATCCTTCGCTATCCGGGCGAATGCACTGACCATTATGCTACCACGGCCCTATTAGCTGCGTCGAAATTTTCCTAGCCTTAAGCTGCAAGGCAGCGCCATCTCTTCGCATTGTAGGTAACCCACAATGACTATAATTGCTATTTCTTCTTTCAAATGTATTATACTTGAAAAAGTATTCATTTGACATTGTGGGTTACCTACAATGCGAAGAGATGGCGCTGCCTTGCAGCTTAAGGCTAGGAAAATTTCGACGCGGCTAATAGGGCCGTGCTAATAGCATAATGGTCAGTGCATTCGCCCGGATAGCGAAGGATGCGGGTTCGAGTCCCGTCCGCTGCCTGGTCCGCGTCGATTTTTTTCTAGTAAACTTTTCTTTAGATTTAAACATCTAGCAGTTAAATGCTTAAAAAATAAATAAAATCATGATTATGATATTTTGTTGTGTAGTGTTGATCAGTTGTATATTTATGTAAATTTTATAATGTTTGGAATTTCTATGCAAGACGTAACGCAAATGCCACCACCAAGTTAAGGTTCCGCTCGATCACCAATCCATATGGTGCTATATGACGCGATATTCAAATCGACGCTGCCATTGGTCGCAAAAATTGTCCCCAACCCTTTTTCCTCGAATTTTGTAACTGCAATTTTTGAATGCAATATAACACACGCTATAAGAATTTCAAAGGTTTCAAAATGTCTTCCAAACTTCCTTAATGTTTATGTTTTTATTTATTTTTAAGTATTTAACTGCTAGATGTTTAAATCTAAAGAAATGTTTACTAGAAAAAAATCCATGCGGACCAGGCGAACCCGCACCCTTCGCTATTCGGGCGAATGCACTGACCATTATGCTACCACGGCTTTTATTCTGTAGAGGAATTTTTAAAAAATAAGTCCTGAATATTGAAATGAATGTCGATGTTGGGTTAATTTTATTTTAAATGCATATAATATATTGACATGAATATTACTTTTTAATTGACATCAGGAATCGAATTAATATTTACATTGAATTGAATAATAATCCTAAATTGTCATACTGAAAAATTTTGTTATTATAGGTATATCACACTAAATTGACATAAAATATTTTTATTTTGAACTGACATTGAGAATTGTAATTAATATTGACATAAATTTGAATTTAAATTATAATGATAAAATACTTGTGTAACAACCCTAGGTCATTCCCATATAGGTTCGTCAACCCTACGAATTACACGCTTGCGCGGTAGAGTCAAGCTGTGAGTATCATAGCAACGCGCTTGAGTGTTAGAGAGAAAATATATTAATTTTATTATGTAGAGTGATTTCTGTTGTGATTTACTAATAAATGCATTAAGAAGTACTGCTGGCTCATTATACTTGTTATTAAATGAATGATTAGTAAACTTAATATGACTGTTATGTTTTAATATATTAGAATTTTTTGCATGCTATTAATATGGCTAAATAGGTTTAAGATTCTTAGCTTTTAACATATGCTTTATATGCAAACACCTTTTGTCAACCCTATTTAATGCAAATAAAGATTATTCTATTCTATTCGCCTCGTCGAAATTTTCCTAGCCTTAAGCTGCAAGGCAGCGCCATCTCTTCGCATTGTAGGTAACCCACAATGTCAAATGAATACTTTTTCAAGTATTAAACATTTGAAGGAAGAAATAGCAATTATAGTTATGTTTTTATTTATTTTTAAGCATTTCACTGCTAGATGTTTAAATCTAAAGAAAAGTTTACTAGAAAAATTGTGGGTTACCTACAATGCGAAGAGATGGCGCTGCCTTGCAGCTTAAGGCTAGGAAAATTTCGACGAGGCGAATAGGGCCGTGGTAGCATAATGGTCAGTGCATTCGCCCATTGCGAAGGGTGCGGGTTCGAGTCCCATCCGCTGCCTGGTCCGCGTGGTTTTTTTTTTCTAGTAAACTTTTCTTTAGATTCCTAAATGTTTGTCTAAAACTCTGTAGCTAAGCTACGACTATACAAAACCGAGTACCGGTGGTCGCTATAATTAAATTAAATGTAAATAAATATGCTTTAAATATGTGTAAAATTTACTATCTCGAGTTCCTTCGTGCTTCGGAAGGCACGTTAAGCCGTTGGTCCCGGCTGCATCTGCAGCCGTTAGCACCCGCCAATCCGTACCGGGCCCGCGTGGTGGGTCATGGCCCAATCTCCCTATTCCATCCTAGGGAAGGCCTATGTCCCAGCAGTGGGGACATTAATAGGCTGATGATGATGATGAAATATGTTTTCAGGCCATGGATGGGTACACGGAAAACATAATGGTGGAGGAGTCTATTATGTCGCGCTCCCAGACGGGCGTGTGCCGGCTCATGTGGTTTGTGGAGCCGCTCGCCTGGATGCAGGGGGTCACCGCCAGGCCCGGGGGGAAGCTGGCCTGCCCCGCCTGCTGCGCCAAGGTCGGCAGCTTCAGCTGGGTGCTGGGTGAGTGGGGGGGGGGGGGGGGGAAGCTGGCCTGCCCCGCCTGCTGCGCCAAGGTCGGCAGCTTCAGCTGGGTGCTGGGTGAGTGGGGGGGGGGGGAAGCTGGCCTGCCCCGCCTGCTGCGCCAAGGTCGGCAGCTTCAGCTGGGTGCTGGGTGAGTGGGGGGGGGGGGGGGGGGGGGAAGCTGGCCTGCCCCGCCTGCTGCGCCAAGGTCGGCAGCTTCAGCTGGGTGCTGGGTGAGTGGGGGGGGGGAAGCTGGCCTGCCCCGCCTGCTGCGCTAAGGTCGGCAGCTTCAGCTGGGTGCTGGGTGAGTGGGGGGGGGGGGGAAGCTGGCCTGCCCCGCCTGCTGCGCCAAGGTCGGCAGCTTCAGCTGGGTGCTGGGTGAGTGGGGGGGGGGGGGGGGGGAGCTGGCCTGCCCCGCCTGCTGCGCCAAGGTCGGCAGCTTCAGCTGGGTGCTGGGTGAGTGGGGGGGGGGACGGGGGGAAGCTGGCCTGCCCCGCCTGCTGCGCTAAGGTCGGCAGCTTCAGCTGGGTGCTGGGTGAGTGGGGGGGGGGACGGGGGGAAGCTGGCCTGCCCCGCCTGCTGCGCCAAGGTCGGCAGCTTCAGCTGGGTGCTGGGTGAGTGGGGGGGGGACGGGGGGAAGCTGGCCTGCCCCGCCTGCTGCGCTAAGGTCGGCAGCTTCAGCTGGGTGCTGGGTGAGTGGGGGGGGGGACGGGGGGAAGCTGGCCTGCCCCGCCTGCTGCGCCAAGGTCGGCAGCTTCAGCTGGGTGCTGGGTGAGTGGGGGGGGGACGGGGGGAAGCTGGCCTGCCCCGCCTGCTGCGCCAAGGTCGGCAGCTTCAGCTGGGTGCTGGGTGAGTGGGGGGGGGGAGGGGGGAAGCTGGCTGGGAAAACTTGGTTTTGATTGCGTCATTGCTCTCGATTGTTTGATGTTGCGTCGTTTGATAGGATAGATACGATGGGGTTATCTATTAGTGGGGGCGAGCCGACAGCGGTTTCCGGACAAACGGTCTTTAATCACCCTTCTAACTTTCTGTGTTCTGTGCCTATGGATGGAATAGAGAGATTCGACCATGACCCACCACGCGGGCCTGGTGTGGATTGGTGGGTGCTGACGACTGTAGATGCCTGGACCAACGGCTTAACGTGCCTTCCGAAGCACAGATGAGCTCGAGATAGTAAATTTTTGGTCACCCATCCAATGACCGACCACTGCAAAAGTTGCTTAACTTCAACAATCGCACCCGAACTCGCTAACCAGTTGCGCCATCCAGCTCCTCTGTTTAACTTTAGTTTACGTTTTATAACAAGGCGATATTTGTTTTCAGGTTGCAAATGCCCGTGCGGTCAGAAAGTGGCGCCGGCGTTCTACCTGGTGCCTTCAAAGGTGGAATGGTCCAATATAGTGCAGAATGTCCAGCTTACGCTATAATATAGGCAACAGTTAAGAAGAATGGACGAAAAACATTAGGAAAAAGGTAAAAGTCTTTATTGCCGCAGAACATTATTGTGAAAGGAGTTTAAAGATCTTTATGGCCGCTGAACATTATTGTAATACTTCTTTAAAGTCTTTTATTGCCGCAGAACATTATTGTAAAACTTCTTTAAAGTCCTTTAATGCCGCTGAATATTATTGTAAAACTTCTCTAAAGTTCTTAATTGCCGCTGAACATTATTGCAAAACTTCTTTAAATTTCTGTATGGCCGCTGAACATAATTGTAAAACTTCTTTATTGCCTCTGAATATTATTGTAAAACTTCTCTAAAGTTCTTAATTGCCGCTGAACATTATTGTGAAACTTCTTTAAAATTCTTTATTGCCGCAGAACATTATTGTAACAGCTCTTTAAAGTTCAATTAAAGCTGTTTTCTGCGGGGTGATCTCTGTGACTGGGACTTCAATAAGTTACTTACAATAAGTACTTTAATAAGTTTTACTTAAAACAGCATAACCGGCCCCAAATTTGACCAATTAGATCAGTTTGAGTTTGAACTTAGTAAATATCCTTCAAAATATAATTTCCTGTCCTCTTTTCAACACTAAGAGGTCCTTGTACTTCCACAAATCCGTTTCACATAGACTAATAAAATAGACAAGCACATACCGTCTAATAATAATTGCGATTTTCTAAAACTAGAAATTATAGAAGTAATAAAATTATATAAATTTCAAATCAATTTGAAGTGGGTGTTTAAAATAAAAAAAGCAGTGAATTAGACATTAATCTCCAGGATTGTGATAGTTAGATGTTTATGTTGCGTCTTGTCTTGGCGCGGAAACATGCGCAGTAGCAGCTTACTGCGTGGTTTATTATCCAATCATAGCGCAGATATTGTTTAAAAAGACTGTTCAGGTTGGCGATTTACAACATTCGATAAAATTGCGTCTCATTGAAATATTGTGCTCTGGTACTGACGACATGTTCTATGGGTTCCACCCTTAGACGCGACACCAGACATCGCCTCGCTCTCTGCCGCGGAAATTCCCCTCATCCGGGGTGAGATGATTTACTCTTTTCCGCGTCTTTTTGTCTGACTATTACCATAAAACTCACAGCAGGTGTAGGCTCTGTTACTGGTTTTATGACATCTAATTTTACCATTCTGTCAAGTTTTTGTTTTACCACAGCTCTTATAGCATGTGGAATTCTTCTTGACGGTTTAATCTCCAGTTTTGGGTTCTCAATCAGGTCAATATCATACACATAATCCTTGTAACAGCCTAATCCTTCAAATACATCGTCTGTACATTGACTTTCCTTTAATGTTTCACCTATCTTGTACAGTCAAAATCTACGGCGGGAGACCTTGTACTGAGAAGAACCGGCAAGAAACTCAGCAAGGGCTGTTTTTTTCTCCCTGTATTATATACAGAGTCGTCAAATTGAAAAATGACTTCAATATGAGGTAACTCATAAAGTCACTTTTCATTACAAACAAAAAAAAAATGCAAATAATATAAAAATTATGACTATAAAATAAAAAATTAAAATATGTAAAAAAAATGGTTTAACAAAGTTTAGGAATGACGCGTCCTACCGTTTAGGCAAAAAGAAAATAATAATAATTCTATTCTATTAATATTAATTCTAAAATAATAATAATTCTGTTCTATTCGTAGGTTCGGTTTTCGTAGGTCTCTTAGCAGTTGCGCGAACGTTTGAAGTATGATCCTTGAGCATCGACTTCTATATTATGATTATAGATTCCGTGTATTAAGTATTCTATTGCATGTTTTCTTTTGATATGACATCGATTTATTAATTTAAATAAACATTACGTTATAATTTTTATTATTTTTAAAGCATGTAACTGCTTGATGTTTAAATCTAAAGAAAATATAACTAGAAAAAATTCCACGCGGACCAGGCAGCAGACGGGACTCGAACCCGCACCCTTCGCAATCCGGGCGAATGCACTGACCAATTATGCTACCGCGGCCCTCACGGACCGCGTCGAAATTCCTTCTAGCTATTCTTAAGCTGCAAGGCAGCGCCATCTCTTCGCATTATAGGTAAACCCACAATCAGTGCATTCGCCCGGATTGCGAAGGGTGCGGGTTCGAGTCCCGTCTGCTGCCTGGTCCGCGTGGAATTTTTTCTAGTTATATTTTCTTTAGATTTAAACATTACGTGTTCATGTATTTCTGATATGTTACAAATTACTCTTTTTTGTCGGACTACGAAGCCAACGTTTTATTTGAATTGTCTATATTTAATGTATTCAGATAGATTCCTTGTTTGTAATAAAACTATGTTTGCATTTTTTTCAATCTTTTCTTTAGATTTTTTGTAATGTACACGCTACCATACTCCAGACCGACTTTGATGCGTGGATTATTTAACTTTTCTTCAATTCTGGTAATTTTAATTTCACCACGATTAATATATTTAACGTCAATATCAGAGTTATTGGGTTTACGGTCCTCATTGATAACAAAGTTGTGTAAAGCCGAGGATACATAGTCTTCACAATTATTGCCAGGGGCATGGTCACTAGACATGTTGTTTATTAACAATTATGCAAATGTAGACTGAGATTTCTCTAGCGTGGGGTTGGTATTACGACTCCGGGCTGACCTGTTTTTGTTTCAATCGGATCTTGGTTAAGAGCCCTTTTACACAATTGCGCCACTGCCGTACCCTTAGTACGAGTTTTACAATTACGAAAACTATGATAGTTTTCGTGAGCTCGCACTCGTACTAAGGGGTACTGATTTTATTCTTTTCGTTTCAATACAAATAAACAGTGTTTAAATTATATCATTAAATCATTTGCGTCTTCTTAGATTTTACGTATACATATTTGGTTACTTTTCACCAAAATGGACATAGAAACATAATTTACATTTACGAAAACTATGATAGTTTACGTGAGCTCAAACTCGTACTAAGGGTACTGATCCGCGCTTAGGAATTTTGCACTAGTAATATTGCATTTTACGGGTGATGTTTCGAGTCTTATAAAATAATTATTAATGAAGTAATCATAAAAATATATACATATTTCAGTAGTTGAATCATGGTAGATTAGTTTTATGAAAGTTTTTGATAGTAATTCTATTTAATTCAATATCAAAATACGGGTAAACCTGCATTGTTTTTTGGGAAAACACACGGAGGTTAGATGTTTTTTTTTGATAATTAATGAAATGGAAAATAAAAATTCTAATACATTATGTTACAACAAAAACATATTTCTGATGTCGTAGTAATTAATTTGATCTAATTTATTGAACATTATTTAGAGATTCAGGCGTTTGAAGTTGTGCATATTATCGTTTTTTCCGTAAACTAGCTGAACTAGTTTTTTCCGTAGAACCATCAGTACAAAAAAAAAAGGAAAATAGTATTTGCAAATATTCTACATTAACTTACAATAGGAAGAATAAATCTACTGTTTACTTCTATTCGAAATAGTCGAAGGGGGTAAACGTACGCTCAAAAATTACGATGTTTGCAAAAAATGTGAAAGGGCTCTTAAGATGTCGCGTCCAAACCAAACTGAGCTCATCCGGTGTTTTTTATTTACTATGATACTTCTACATTATCTTGTGTCAATACCCAGTTGTATATAATAGTGACAGGGAACAGATTCAATTATGGCATTTTTTTTTATAAATACCGTTTCTTTTAACATCTTTTTCGATTCAGACCATATTTAATGGTGTACCGTTTACCGAATTAAGTAAATTAAATAATTCATCAAAAAAAATTAAAACATCAACAGTCTCCTTGCATTCTTTTGGGATGACTTACTTATCTGAAAGGAAATAAGCAATTGATAATATTTATTCCTGAATGTTTGGGTACCATGTCTTTTTCACTTTCATTTTACAAATTTTATCAGGTTTTACTTGATTCTCGGTCAGTTTGAGTATTATCCTGATACCTCGAAGAGCTGGGTTCTCATCATACTAGCGTTTAATGTGCGACTATAGGCAACTTTTAAATCTTTGATAATCTAATTGTTACGTACACATTTAATCAATTGTGGTGTCTCGTATAATGGTACGATTTCTTCACCCTTTTAACCACATGGATCTGGACTCCTCCATAAGCCACTTTATTGCATTTCTGTTTCCAGAGCCTTGGTCACATTCACTTGGAGCATTGCTTCAGGTCACTATAATATTGCGTTTACTAAATAACACCTTACTTTGTTTTATTTCACCTACTAAAAGTAAAACTAATAACTTTTTAGGAAAATACTAAAGTTCTGGGCCCATAACCTATGAATTAACCACAATGTTAAGTGACAGAGAGAGAGAAAAAGAGAGAGGGAATGTTTAATGTGTAAATGTCACCCACAGACTTTTTAAGTCCAGTATACACAGGGTTACCATCCGTCCGAAAATGTATGGATCTTTAAATAGTCTGGATTTTTTAAATTACATTGAATGTGAATGATAAAAGTACATATTGATTTAAATATCATACTATTGTAACTAAGTCAGTAATGGTACCATTTTGTGACTAAAAAGTCCGGACTTTTCTCGAAATGTCAGGCATTTGTCAGTACTTTTGAAATTCATAAATGGTAACCCTAAGTCTTAGATTAAAAGAAAAAGGGTAGATACGGTACGCTCATACTAGCATCAAATAAAATATGATCCGACTCAACTACATAAGCAACTCTCGCCACGCACACGTCTATATATAAACATCAATCGAGCGAGCGAGACCGAACTATACGCTTTAACGCAGCGTATTGTTGTGAAAATGGCGATTACGTAAATAATATTGACGACAAACCGTGATTTTTGAGAGTAAAAGTTTTAGTTTTACGAATGAAAAGCGTTGCAGGGGCATTGATCGCAATATTATTATATTGAGCATACATGCAGCGTGTTTGAATGTCAAATTGTGACTAAAGCGAATTATGGTCGTGGACCACAATTTAAGCGGATCACTTTTGAGCCGCGAATGCGGTATCTTCCCTTTTTGTTTTAATCTAAGCCCTAAATATACATGACATATTTAATACATGAAAACATTATTAGAAATTATTATCTCTGAGACTTATCTTCAACTGTAAATCGCTTCTCTGATTGGACGATTTTGGCGCCTCTGCTGCTGCGCTATGTTTATTGAGACATCTCTATAGGAACTCACAGAAAGTCTTCCTATACGAATAAACAGCACGAAGGATAATCTCCTGTTTGCAACATTTCGTTGATTGTCCAGTAAAACAAATCGATCTAGTCGTTTTTAGGGAATCTACCTTTGTAGAGATTGTACGATCAAGCTACGTACATTTCGCCCGCTCATCATTTTACTGATTGACCTTATTTTATTATTTTCAATAATCGTCAATTACTTACAAGTTAGTTCGCAATTAGCTATCAAGTAAGCCGTGCGCATACTCATTCATAACAACAGGGCCGGATTTAGGATTGTGGAGGCCCCCGGGGCCACTTAGGATTTGTATGCTTGTTAAACCCATCGAAATTTTGTTATCTATTATCCTGTTGTGGAGGCTCCGGGCCACTTAGGATTTGCATGCGTTGACCCATCGAAATGTTGTTATTTCTTAAGCTGTTGTTTAGGCCCCTGGGCCACAGCCCCACCTGACCTGCCTTAAATTCGGCCCTGAAGCCCTTAAGCGATTGGGGTACTCCCTCAAGAAGGATAGTGAATTGGAAGTGCTTATCAGGGCCATTTGAGATTTTGATATTTCACTGATTGCCTAATTGGAGTGAACAAATATAGATCAATGATTTCTGTTATTTAAGATTAATATAATCAAATAATCATGTATGTTAGATGTACAAAGTACTGTAGGCTGTAGGTAAAGGTAAAAGAGCAAAAAAAAAATATCAAAGGAAAAGATGTTTAATAGTTGGAATTTGAAAGATTTTCTTTTCCGAAGTCTCTATTGTGGGGGCCCCCCGTTTGTGGAGGCCCCGGTTGCCCTCCCCTGAATCCGGCAATGCATAACAAACATTTTTATATCAATAAGTATTGTTTTAAGTTATTGTTTAGTTACCAAAATATACTATGGATAACACATATATATAATAAAACTAGCTGACTCGGAGAACTTCGTACCGCCCAAAAGTAATAATTTGCAATAAATTAAAATTGCGACTATAATTTGAGATTTAAACTATCCTATCTCTCAAGTTGGATCGAACTGCACATGGTGTGCGAATTTTATTATAATCGGTTCAGTGGTTTAGGAGTCTATTGAGGACAAACATTGTGACACGAGATTTATATATATTAAGATAAGGTCAATAAGTAAAATGATGAGCGGGCGAAATGTACGTAGC